GACTTGACTCGCAAATCATCGAGTCAAAAAAAACATAAACTCGACTCGATTTAAACTCGACTCGGCTTATCTGACTCATGAGTTAACTCGACTTGTCCGGAACTCTAAATAGATGCACCTGCGCATATCCAATCTTAATATTGCGTGGCTTCCCTTCGGTAATACAGAGGAGGTCTTCTAAACTTTTGATCGCATAGTCTACTCTGCCCGTTGCATTTTCACCGGAAATGTCTTTCTGCAAAACTATAAATATATCTTGAGAGGTGAGTTTCTTGGCGATGGCAATTGATGCATGTAATATAGCTAAAATAAATTCACAGCGCGTTGCCTCATTAGCATCGGTCATGGTCTCCACGTTCGAAAGTTTTAAGATAATGTCCTCCATATAGTAATTGAATGCTTTATCTTCATCACTAATCTCCTCGAAGACTACAGAGAAAATAAAGTTAATATAGCTATCTAGTCAGCTTCGAAAAATAATTAATTACCTACCAGGAGTAAATTGCTTGATGTTTGTTATATTTTCCCCATTGACCTTATTTCTACGTAACATTTCCTTCAGGTCATTGAGAGTTTTAAGCAAGGAATAGTTTCGTAATTTCTGACTGAGGCCTTCAATAAATTTCGTAAGCCTTGTTGCTGGACCTAACGTGAAACCAATACTACGTAATTTTTCTTCTGTTAATTCAAGAAAGTCAGAGCCAGCAATCTCTTCCTTTCGTAAAATTTTAAAGTGGGTCTCCTTGAGCTTCAAGTCTTTTCTCCCCAAATATTCAATAAACCCCTCTGTATCGAAATCCTTAATCACGTCCGACATTGTTCTAGTGGAAATTTCTTCCGTTATTGAGGTAGGTGAAGCGGGTGAAGAAGCTTGTGAAGACATAGTTTTTATATATGTGAGTTTGTGCTTGCGAAAAAATATGCACTCGACTGCAGTTACAGGTAAAGCTAGTTTATGGATATAAAAGTATTTTTGGTTTCTGAAGTAAAGCGCTTAGAGAGAAATGATAGATTTTTTTGTATCAATTCATAATGCATTTGCCCAATATATATGCAATTAATATGTAGTACAGGATTGTCAGGCGATAATATCACATCATTACATGTGACATTTATCGAGATTTACGATAAGACGTAATAATACTTTATTTATGAATAAATCGTTGCCAGAGTAACTAATATATAAAAATTGCGAATATATCGCTATTACATGACATAGAAATTATTATTCGGGGGAAAGGGGAGGGTAGACAAAAATATGAATCATATCTTCATCTGGATTCTCAGGAAAATAAGCCGAAATCATATTCTCTGGTTGCATACGTCTTCTTTGTATACTGGTTGGATAAATTTGTTAAAGATGAAAGTTATGAGGATGGACTGGAAGATGAGACGCTAATATACCCCTAACTCTATTCACAATAACAGAGACAAGGTCATTCTTGGAAACCTCGATCACGAAAATTACATTTCTATTTTGACTATTACAGAAACGGAGGTTGAGGCTTATAATGTCGCTATTATCAGTGGTAGTCATCTTGCTTCTTGTTATCTATCAGTAATAAGCCTAATAGTGAGAAATTTTTGTTCCTATACACACATAACTTCTGGCATATACATACCTTAAAATTTTTGCGGGAAGTTGGCTGAACTTCCACATATCTCTACATGCTTTATATCTTGTTGGGAAAAAGTTAAGAAGATATGAGTCATAATTAACAATGTCATATGATGCCAAGAGTTCTATGAAAGCGCATGCAAACGGAATTTTTAAACCTTTTCACATGTAGATCTACCGGAAGACACATATTGGTTTTACGCCTGGCGATCTCAAAATTGCGAGTCCCTCAGCCCTTTATAACATATGCTTTTGACGTTAATATTTACTTTTAGAGCTGGTCCTGTGTTGCTTGTAGACATTCTTTCACATTTTCTCATGATTGTTTGGGGAAA